CATTCAAAAACAAGCGCAATCCCCTCTCTCTGGCATCATTCAGCTTCAAACCGAAAAAGTTAATGAAATAATAATAAATGTATGTAGTCAAACGGTACAGTTGTAGCCGATAAGTACATATTAAGAGTGCAACACTAACAGTTGTACTCCATTTGGAAAAGTACACTTTGTGCATTTTGTTCAGTAGATTATTTTGATTGCAAACAAAGCGCATCATACCTGGAAAAGTCCCCAGAACCAGTAACATGAGCGAGGTGATAAGTTTTCTTGAAGCTCCCATCTCCATGGTCCAACACGCACCTTCTTCTGCGCGTCCCACCCTTCCGACTTCCAGCCTAGACATACAAGATCCTTTAAGTATTTTCCCGTTATCTTCGCCTTTTCGCACGGCAGATCTTATATTAGAGGTCCCTTTTCAATATCAGTTGATCAAAAGACCAAAATCCAGGTCAGGAGCTGGGTGCTGCTTGAAATTACGCCCGAGGAGCCATAACCTCCAGTTGCGCGTCTGAATCGCGAAGCTGCGAGCGCACAGAAGCCGGACGCGCAAACTGACCAGCTGCGACCGGACAAGCAAAGCAGCAAAGAAACACTTCCCGCTTCTGTTAGGAAATTTCCGCCCAGAAATAAGTGGCAAATAAACAGAAACGATTCCCTATCCCTTGCTGCGGAACTAGTTCTCATCATGGAGCTCATCCGCAAGTAAAGGGCTTGTGTACCCCGGCCGCCGCACCTGGGTCCGCCCGACACGCCTACCAAACGTAGGAAACGCCCCTCATTTCTCCAACAGGTGTCTCGAGTGTTTTTATGAAAAACATTCTTTTGAATGTTTTGCTATATAAATGTTTTACAAACTCAAACCAATATTACACTTCCATAAGTTCACCATCAACGTTTTGTTCAAAATAAGAACAAATGTTAGGCTACAATGCGGTTCATAAGTTACTTCATGTCACCGTTTAATTGCCCTAAACAAACATGTGTATTACTGTAAACTCATAGATTACAGACAATTCAGTCAGGTGAGGGGTATTTACGTAGTTTAACTTTGGCTGACTGCGCTAACTAAAATGTAATATCCTACTCCATATACCTGAGCAAGACAGATTACACAGTGGTTTTAAGCAGTGGCGACCCGTTCAATCTAGGGTAATTTAATCAAAATTAATTTTCCTTTACAATGCTTATGACGCAAATGAAAACAAAACGCAGACCCTTACATAACAGCCTGCTAGTTTATTTTGTCAAGGTTTCATGGAAATACGTTGATTTTTTTCTTCTTTTTTTAAGCCAGATAAAAGCTATTTTAGGCGCGCGACTTGCGTCGCTTGATCAGGAGAGTCCTGTTTAACGTCACGTACTGCAATAAAATAAAACCGAAGAGCATGGATTAGCGATGCTGTAGCACACACACGACCCCTTGGTGACACATATTTATTTAAACTATTTATAGAGCTATGCATTTTTCTCATTAAGGCCAAGCTACTTGCAACGTGCCTCTTGGTAGGAGTGCCACGCCTGATACTTTGTTTTAGCCGACAGCCCCATTGTGTGTCTGCGCTGGTTACTTCAGCGAATCAGTCAGGGCGGCTTGCTGGAGCAGAGCTCGCAGCACTTAACCTCGGCAGAGCAGAGAGAGATCAGCCTTCCGAGATGAAAGTCTTCCTCGCTCCTCGGGGCTGGCTGGTTGCCATAGAAACGCGGCCGAAGTTAATGCAGCAAGACTTGCCAATTACTAGGGGCCGGTGTGCTCACTTGTGTGATTAAATCCCGAGATACTGTGTTATTGGTACGCGTTACGGTGGCCTAGGATTATTACCTCTGATTGATCTGAATTACTGACTGCGGATGTCCACTAAGATTGCGATCACAGATGATTTCAGACGTGATGGGTTTTACCGGGGGGATATTTGAAAGTAAAGGTATGAACGAAGAAGAAAATTCTTCCATTAATAAAGTTTTATATAAACAAGGTAAAATTATGTCAAATATATTCAGCACTGACGATTCTTTGCAAGTCTATCAGCAGTATCTATTATTAAATAGGCCTACTGGTAACATTAGTCACATGAAATATGTACCATTTTTAGATCATTTATCCATTTTATAATTCATTAAGGTCATACATAGAACCGTTTCAGAATTGGCTCTAGATCAGTGTTTTCCCCCAATTTGCATTTTAAAACATTTTTTTGATATATTTTGTGTCTCACACCACAATGTATAGTGGTCTAGGCAGATGTTTTTGGATTATAAGATAAATCTTCTTTTCTTAGATGTGTTTCTGCTGCTTTCTGGGGAACCCGCAATAAAATAGCTACTTGTTTCACTCTGCATCAAGGCTCCTCAAATCTGGACCTCTATTCCAAATCCAGGCATTGTTTTCAGTTCTCCCAGGTAGTTAATGTAATAATTACTGATTCTGATTGGCCAGAGGTTTCGCACCTGAGTCACAGGTAAAGAAAGGCTGGAAAATCAACAGGGCTCGGACCTTGAGGACCATGATCTGTATAGCCTTGTTATACATCATACAGTTAAACAAGCATTTGGACCATGAAATCAATGACTATATAAGAATTAGTGGATTACAAAAAAGAATTGACCCTTAATGTACAATTTCCGGGTGGCATGGTGGTGCAGTCCTATCGCCTCACAGCAAGAAGGTTCTGGGTTCGATCCCTGGGTCACCCAGGGTGCCTCTCTGTGTGGAGTTTGCATGTTCTCCCCGTGCGTGTGTGGGTTTCCTCCCAAGGCATGCAGATTAGGTCGACTGGCTACTCTAAATTGCCCATAGGTGTGACTGCGAGTGTGTGTGGCTGTTTGTCTGTGTTGGCCCTGTGGTGGACTGGCAGCCTGCCCAGGGGGTACCCTGCCTCTCGCCCGATGATGCTGGGATTGGCTCCAGCTTCCCCGTGACCTAGATGGATAAAGCGGTATAGATAATGGATGGATGTACAATTTCCAGTGTAGAATAACCTTTCTGTTTTTGTATATTCCTTAAAGTGAAAGTGTGTAATTTGTGTTTTTGTGTTGTTTTTTGGTACAATGCTATACCTCACAAGACACCTAAAAACCAATATCCATAAATACAACACTACATAATGTTACGCACTGTTCTGGTATTTCGTATTTGGCCCCATCCCGTGTATTCTCACCTGTGTGTTACTGGTTACTCAGTGGAAGTCTAGCAGGTTGGTTCCTTGACATCTGTGTACTTTTGATTCATTATCTGCCTCATTTATTTGTCACTTTGGACTAAAGTGTCTGCAGTTTAAATAACTACAAATGCTAAGGAGCAAAGCTGAGCCTTAATAAGGTTTTTATGAACATATTTTGACGACTCCTCAATAGGACACATCACATCTAGCTTTACATAGCTAATGGATAGTTAGTCATGAGCAAAAGTAAAGGTAACCATTAAAAAAACACAAAATCTATGCAAATATTTTTGAGAGTACTAATCTGTACAATAGTGGCTTTTCTAAATTAATTAATTTAATTTATTTATATTAACAAACAGGTATGAGTTCTGCAGAGGAACAATTTATTGTCCCTACCTGACTTTACATTAATACTCATTCATAAGATTTTTGGTGTGAATGGAACAGTTTATGGATGGACTGCAAAGCATAAAATGAATAAAACTACACGCATGAAGAGGGGTCTGTCCTCACATGGACATGAGGTTTGAAACAGATTTCTATTTTTACAGGAGTCATTAGCATATGTTTTACACAGTCCAATTAGATTCTGACCTTGAATGTGAGCTAACAATCAATATAATTGCACTTGATTACAGAAGATCAACATTAAAATCTCATTAAAGATCCTTCTGCAGACACCAGACCCACTGTTACTTAATATGTCTCAGCTTGAAAAGAAATTAGATGCTGATGGCGAATTTTAATATTTAATTATCCTAAGACGAGACCGAAAATAACACAGGGCATTATCACATCAAGCTTCCAGTTGTGGAGGTTAATATCCATCTTCAAACTGACATTTGAAGGCATTGTAGTGCCATAGTTTCAATACATAAATTTAAAAAGATGCATCTTTTGTACAATATAATCATCAGCACTAAAACCCTGATTGTGATTTTTTAATAATACATGCCTGTTCTTGTACAAATTGGTTGAGCAATGATGTGTTAAATTTTGTTTAGACATCATACTACAATCATTTTAAATGTATTTTTACCCTTTATTTCTTAAGATGTTAAGTAATTTTAAAGAGCTGAATTTGAATCTGATTATAATATAGCTGACATTTTACTGCATTTTAGTACAATGAAAATATTAAGTTGCTACAACGACTCTTACCTAAAAACATGATTTGAATAATTCAGGAAAGCTCTACTTGCTCATAAGTTATACTTTTTCATAGAATCTTGCATCCATTATTAAATATAGTGTGGAAAACTCAAAAAAGTCTCATATAATTCTCCTTATTTTTAATTCACATTTGTTTTGATAACTTAAAATCATTACATATTCATAGAACATAATATATTTAGGGGGGAAAAAATCAAGAAAATTAAACCTGACTTCTTGTTGCTTTAATAAGAGGACATATCTTCTCGGTTTGAATTAAAAAGCTGTCAGCAACTATTAATATGCACAATTTAGTAACCATGGTTTGAGAATGAGCCTAATTATCTTTGTGACATTCTACTGCCATCTGCTGGCAAGGACGGAGAACAACTTATTACAGACTGGCAACGAACAGTAGTCCGTGAGATTCATACACAGTAGTCAATCTGTCACATATTTCACTGCAGGATAATGGGCAAAATCATATTGTGCTGTGAATACACGTGTCTGGAAAATAACTGATTTCTCAGGAAAACAATTTACCTCAGTTAAGATGGAAATGTATGTTAATTCTGCCTGAAATCCAATCTACAGGCAAGCTTTCAGAAAGGTAAGTAGCCATTAACATTCATCATGGCACAAGGCCTGAGCTGGGAAATGGGAAAAACTGGTGGACAAAAACGATGGTTTAGCCAAAGGGTTATGGGTTCAAACCCCACCATTTATTTTGACCAACGGTTCAGGAGAGTGTAATAAAAAACAAAACTTTATCACTGGAACAAAGTTTTATGAGTTTTCGGTCCTCCAAATTATAACCATAAAATGGTACAAGATTACATTAGGCTTCATTGAGCTGAGTTTTGATTTTTGATTGCAGCTCACGAATTCCAAATTCTGTACCAAAAGCGGTGCTCCCAGAACTCACAGGTGCGGTGAACAGCAGGTGGATGGATAGGGGTCATTTATTGTTGTCCAAAACAATGTAAACATACAAGAAGGTGATCCGGAAACCAAAACATCACCACTCTGTATTCACAAATAAAAAAATAAAACAAAACTGTTCCCCCCCGCCCCACCCCTTCGGACAAAGTGTTCGAAATACCGGAATGCTTGACGACATATACATTCATACATAAATATACACATACACACACTGGACGTGCATGTATGCATACGGAGAGATAGACTTTATATATTATATACTTAATACTGTATATATATATAAATTTATGTATATATTCATACATAATTTCCTGTGTTTATTAGAATTTTCCTTCATGTCGGAATCTTACCTGGCACACTGGTTTTGAAGTTACACTTCAAGAACATAAAGAAAACAATAATTAAGGAAAAAAATCTTTGAAGGCAGTTTTTAAAAATTAACTGACAACAGCCACTTACTGGCCGTGACTCCTCCTCCCCGCAGGATGGGGATGCAAGTCATCCCAGACAGTGACGCAGACAGACTCCCTGATTTCAGTGTGGCTACGAAGGCAAGAGCACCTTCCCGTCCTTCCGCCCCTAAGCTTCTCCTCGAGTCCCCGCAATGTCCGGACAGGGCCTTACAACGCATCCTTCTTGTTGAATTTCAAGGAATAGCCGATGGCGATTTCTAGACATTCCACTAAGGACCCGGCCGACAGGAAGTCCAGCTCCACCTCGATGAATTTAATATAAATAGCGGACCGGGGCGAGCCCCCTTCCTTGGACTGGACGTTGCAGTTCCCCAGCAGGAACTTGGTGACGGCTGAGGGCTCGCCCCGGCCGTAATGCTTGCCTGAGCTCTGAAAGTGCTGGAACAGGCATTGCTGCAGCGTCCTGTCCTCGGCGATGCCCAGGTAGCAGTACGTCACTTTGGCCGAGGACCCCTGACCTCGGTCCCGCTCCGGAGACCCGGACGGGCTCAGGCTCCGCTCCTGATCGCTGGGCTCCGGTGACGATGGCCGGTCCCCAGAGTCCGATGGCGCGGCGCCCTTTACCTCCTCGTAGCCGATGGCATAGAGGCCATAGGTTTTGGGGATGCCACCGGGCAGCAGATACTGGGAGCCGTTGCTGCAGCCAGCTACCCGTGACTGGGCCACGGGAATCCAGTCCACCTCCATGTGCAGCTCCAGACAGCGTGCCTCGCTGATGGTGATGTCCAGGAACTTGTAGTAGACGTTCTTCCAATTCATCTTCTGCACCTTGGTCATGATGATGCGGCCCTCCGCCTTCTCGGGGTTGAAGTACTCGCGGAGGCGCTTACCCAGTGGCACCTGCGAGCTAATCTCGGCGTAGTGGTAGCGGATCTCCTCGCGCCAGCGCGTGTTGTAGCCCACACCGAAGATGGCCAGCTTGTTGGAGAGGTGCAGCCGGGAGAAGTCCGTCCACGTCTGGAAGTGTTCCCACTTGATCTGTACCGACTCCAGGATACGCATCACGTTCCGCATCACTTCCTGTTTCCTGTGGATCATGCCAAGAAAGGGTGCAAGGTGTAAAGCTGGGACTCAAGCTTAGTGTGGTGGATCACAGACTGATGTCAACAGTCTAGATGTTTAACTCACTGGCCATATAACATCCACGGATTCATAATTACCATGTTTTTAATAGGATAAGACAAACACACACACACACTAACTGAGAAATCAAAACCAGTTCCAATAATACAGTGCTTTTCAACCCAGTCCTCGAGAACCCCCAGATCGTCCACATTTTTGCTCCCTCCCAGTTCCCAGCCAATCAATAACACCGTATACCGGGAACAGCTGTTTTGGAGCTGGGAGGAAGCAGAAATGTGGACTGGAGGTTCCCAAGGATTTGGTTGAGAAACACAAATATAAAAATGATCCACTTGCAATGAATAAATCATATTTATATTTAATAACGGCTTTAAGATCCATGGAGAACACAAGCATGAATAACAGTGCTAATGTTTGGACAAATGAAGAGAGGTGAAGGAGAGGAATGTTCTGGGACAGCTGTATCCTGCGTCGGAACTTACTGGGAGTCTTCCGACGATTCCTGTCGAAGCTGGAGAATTCTGTTCTTCGGATGACGGATTTCCTCTGAAAAGCACAGGAGGTCTTTTCACGGAGTTGAAAAAAAAAAAAACAGACCAACAACAGAATCACACAAAGCCAAAAAGTAGGGGACACTGCATGGTTTCATCACTAACACTCAAATTAACCCAAATGGACAAGGTAGATCTCTGCAGAACGCTGTTTTTAGTTCTAGGTTATGTGACAGGTTTGTTATGTTGAGCGTAATAGACGCTTGACTGTGTTTACCTGGATACAAACCTGCAGAAGATCACTCCGCACAGTGAGTGCAAATATGTAAACTAAATACATACAAATTAGATAAACTTAGTAATGACAAAAACGTGAGTAATATCATATAGTGAAGATGCCATAAACTGAACAGGGATGCACAGCAATTACAGTGGCAGGGGAAAAAAACATCATGTGGCTCAGTGGACTAAGCCTCTCTGCCTGTGATCGGAAGGTTGCCGGTTCGAGCCCAGCCTTCGGCACACCTGTAGGTTCTTGAGTAAGGCCCTTAACCCCGAGCTCCCTGGAGGCTGCTATGGGTGGCTGCCCTCTGTGGCCAGCTTGCTCTCACTTAGAGGGGATCAATAAAGTACCAATAATAGTGACTTGACTTGGCAAATATTATGGAAAGACTTGGACTCGACTTGGACTTGTGGGCACATGACATCAGACATGACTCGGACTAGTAAGGTTTGACTCAGACTCACCAAGGGGTAACTTGTTCCCATCCCTGGTTTCACCGCCAATGAGCTAACGCATGCCCCCCCTGCCATGATGTTATATAACTTGACAAACCTACTCTGATAAAAATGGAATTATTTAAAATACTTATTACAAACCATAAAGAGATGTCAGAAGATATCCAATATGTACAATATATAATTACACTATATTAATGTTATTACATCTGTTCTCCTTTCCTTTCAAATGTACAAAGAGGAAACACCCCACCAGGTCAAACTCAATAATCAACACAACAAAATGATCATTACTGGTTTGACTACAACACAAAACCTTCTGATCATCAGCTCCACCTTAACCACTACACCACCTAGTGGCTGACTTTCTTGTTGGACGGAAGTTGCTGATGTGCACCAATAACCAGGATTCCTGCTGGTAAATGGGAATCTTACCCTAGATGTTATGGGAGTAACCAAAAACCTGAATCAGGTGCCATCTGCGTCATACCGACCCTGCTTATCACTAAATCATTACAGCTTATCATAAAGTTCATCCAGTGACATACCTCGGGGAATAGAGGACCGCGAAGTTCACTACAATGTTCGGCCTACCAGGACCAACCATCTACTACAGCGTTATGAACATGATACTCTGCCAAAACTTAGAACTTCACATTCGTTCACCTTCCAGTTCTGACAGCCTACCCTGGTGATCTTTGGAGCGTGTAATAAAGCTTCCACTAACCTGCTTCTAACTCCCCCTCCTGGAAGGCGGGCAGGTCCTGGCTGCACCACTCCTCCTGAGGATAATCCTCCATGGTGCTGCTGTCCGACTCCATCTCCTGGTAGAGGCCGCTGCTGTTGATCAGCACTGGCTGGCAGCTCTGCGAATCCCAGCCCCCCTGACCGAACACTTTCTCCAGCTGCTCGATCGAATAGCTGCTCTTCCTCTTGCCGATGCCGTGCTCCTTGACCCGGCTGTAGCACCGTCGCAATGTCTGTTCAATCCAACGGCAGCTTAGGGTCAGTGAGGCGAGAGCTTGCCACCATATAGGAGCCATACGATAACAGGGTTACACTATGATATGACCCATGTCTTACTTCAGGGGGAAGTGACTGACAATAGACAAAGACTTTCCACACTACACAGGGAGGGACAGTGCACATTTCACAGTTTAAATAAGGGAAATAAGGTTTATTTCCTCCTAAGCACAGCAGACAGCAGTAACTACGATAATCACATCCCTGACACTGCGAAACTAAACACCAAGATCCATAGATGGCTGGTTTAAGGACCTTTTCATCAGTTTCACATCCCGGTTTATGCACCGGGTGGCGTGTGGCCTCATTACAAGACGTGCATCACCATTAATCAAATGTGCTACTTTTATTATAAATGCACTGACAATCCCGCCGATTAACCGATGCACGTAGACAAGTGTGCAACCCAGAAGGCAAGGCATGGGGTGACAGGCTGGTCCCTGACAGCATAAGTGGGGTAAGATGGAAACGGTGCTTACTCTGTCCTATTTACCTTCATCCTCTCCCTGCACTGCGATGGGGTCCTTTCGTAGCCCAGCTCCGCCAGCGCTCTGGAGACCCGCTCGTACATGGCCGGCCCGGGTGCCTTGCCGGAGAACACTGTCCCAGCCACCTCCAGCTGCTGCATCCTCGCCTCCGTGAGCCGCTCGTTGCCCCACACGGCGATCAGCGCGTTCGTCTCGGAGGGCGTCCACGACATTCCCCGGCAGGCGGTGAAGCTGTTGGAGGCGGAGGCCGCCCCGCTCCGGCCTGCGCCCCCGGAGACGCCGATGCCCACGTTCAGCGGCGAGAAGCGGTTCGGCGTGGACGGGTTCGAGTGATACTGGTTGCCGTCGCTCAGATCCTCCGACTCCGGAGAGGGGGCCTCGGTTTTCGGGATCTTTAATGGCGCGGATATTTCAGCCAAAGGATCGGCGTTACTGGGCGCCGCCATCTTTGTTCTGTTGCTAAGGGGAGGGGAGGAGGGGGGGCGGGGGTTGGACCTGACGCGGGAGGATGGGCCGGAGTGTGCTGGATCGAGGCTTGTGGGCCGGTTCGGAATGGCGCGTGTGGACGGCACCCGGGGAACCAGCCCGCACCTGCCGGGGTTATATATGTTTCATGTCCCGTATACCAGAACAAACACATTTCCGCGTATTTTTTCGTAAACGATGCCCACTGTAACAATAATTGCTGTTTCAATTAATATAAATACAACTAAAATTAATTAAAAATGGACACTGAGTCACGTGCAGTGACATAAGCAAAAATATTAGTAAGCCCCGTATAGAATACGATTGCATGCGTGACTCTGTGTGCCATGTTGCCCACCAGCTTTGTACTCTGTGCTGCCTGGTATAGACTCCGACAACAACCATGTGCTTCACCAGGATATGTGTATAGAAGATGTATGTATGTATGTATGTATGTATGTATGTATGTATGTTTTATCAACTTGATCAGATAGATGAAGTTTTCGCAAAAATATTGGAGATGATCTATTCAAAAATAACATAGCTTGAGTGGCTCAATAAGGTATGTTAATGGCTGTAACTGATAGCCAATTATAAGCATATAAATTTTAAGCAAGCAAATTTAACCAAATAATCGAAAACACGCTTACGATCCTAATTACACTTGTCACCTATACTTCCATTTTAAAGAGACAGTTCTAAGAATTGACCACTAGGCGGCGATGTTACCAGTCACACTTTTGATTCTGGAAAGGGGATGATTCTGCTAATTTGTACAGAATCATTTTACGTAGCTGAAATTGTTTGTAACTTTTTTGTAGAATTTAATTTGTTATTTACTCTAAGTAGATCAATTGCTCACCCAAAGTGTATATTTAAATGGCTCAAACAGGGCTTTTTATCATCTCTACTATAATCTGGGGATTCAGGGGCGCAGTAGGGCCATGAATACCCTGGTAGATTCTGGGGGCCCCTCACTTTGCTGGAGCCTGTGAATGCATACAGTTATATAATGCACGGGGGCAAGATGACATTTTGTCAGGGGGCCCAGAATATCAATAGCCACCTTCCTGTGGGCTTTGATTCGTATTCAAACATTGAGAAAGATTTTTATGTCAAAATTATGCCTGACATTGTAATATTGTATATAACCAAAAAAAAAAATTTTCTTTGTATATTGTCAGATTAATCAGGAAAAAGAAGATGGTTCCAAAGGAATTCCCAGACGGTGGAATTAGGGGTCACAAAAGGCCAAAGGAACAAGACGTATTAGCAATAAAACACCATTAGCTCAGGAAAATGAATCACAAAAGTGTATAAAAATTCTCTTGAAATACAGAAAATGTTGCATGATTAATTTAATTGAGAAGATATTGAAGCGACGTCTAAGGTTGAAATTACCCAGCTTTCCACTTAAGGACCATTTTCATTATTTGAAATATGTTGTGAATGTGTGTTTTTTTTCCCCACAAATAACGGATTTACAAGTGTTGTACGGGCCACAGTGGCAGGTAGCCTCATTCTCAGATGGCACCATCATTCCCAGCACGCCCGAATGCCACCGCTTTCTCTAAGCACACGGACAGCCGCGTACAGTCACGCTTGGGACTTGCACCTCAGTCTTGTAACAGCAGAAACAGCCTCCTAATGCCGTGGACCAGGACGCATGCCTGGCATTACAGCGTGCATTTCAGGAAAATCAATGTGCAATTCATGTGGCATAGGATACATGAAAGTTTCCACTGGGAGTGGAAAGTGGGATTTGGCCACACCCTGCCTCACTGCATGACATTACAGTTATGTTACTGCCGCTGACTGATGTCACTTGTTAATAATAAGTATTTTTGACTGAAATAATGCTTTATTTGCAGTAGTACAAGTGCACCAGAAAGCTCCTGCTCACATATCCCATCATGCTCTTCTTTGACACATACGTACAGTTGAAAGTGAAGTTTGGGGTCCAAGCACATGCCATTTTTCAGACTCCCCTGGAACATCTCAGTGGTTTAGGCGCCTTTCTCAAGGGCCCATCAGACATTTGATTATCCTGCTGAGACTTGAACTGGCAACCTTCTGATCACAGGCACAAAGGACTAATCCACTGAGCCTCATTCATTTCTATGGGGAAAATGCTAATGCTAACTATGACAACCTTAACCCCTACCCAGCCCTAACCATAACCATAAGTAACCAAACAAAATACAATAAATTAATAATAATACATTTTATTTATAGTGCACTTTACATTCTACAAAGAAAATCTCAAAGTGCATACAGACAGTGAAAAAACATTACATTAAAAGGAGGAATAAAACATTTAAACAGTAAAGCAATCAAGAGTTTTTGCATTTTTAGTTTTTTCATTACAGTCACGGATTTTTATAAAATAGGTAAAAAAAAACTAAAAAAAAAACGGGTGTTCATCACGTTGTGGGGACATTTGGCCCCCACAAGGTAAGGTACCCCTGGACCACATACACACACACAAAATGTAACTATACAGCAACCTACTACAGATTTAAGGATAAGTGGAGACTGATGGTGAATTGATGAATATACAAGCATTAAAATCTTACACAATATATTAGTATACAAAGCTTTACTAAAGATAACGTGTAAGCTAATTGGCCGAATGTGTTTTGGTATGGATTTTAATAAATCATAATGTCTTATACCGATTCAGCAGATGTTCTATACATCAAACATTGTTGATTCTTCTTTTGCAAAAACTCCTTCCTTCTGAGATTCTGATTCAGAGAAATTTTATTGTAGTTTAGTCTTACTAGTTTTTTCATGTCACAGAAACCTTCGCTACTTCCTGACTGAATCCTGGAGCATTTGTGCTTCACCTTCATCAAAGCATTGGTAAGTTCATCAAGTAAAGGAGGTTGTCTTGCGTTTTCTCCTGTTTCCGTTATTCTGCTTTGTTCCTAAGATGTCCCGTTGAGATGAGGTCAGGGCTCTCTGCCTGCCCTAGAAACATTCCCATACTCTTTTTCACTGTTTTTGTAATAGTAACAATAAAGATTTTATCTTATCTTATTAACCACTGCAAACCCAATGATTTGTCTATGTTCCTGTCACACCTATTGTCCTGTATTCAGAAAAGTGACCCATGTCATTGATTGGTTAGAGTATGTAATATATCATTGTATTAGTATACTGACCGCTATGTGTGAGATGTATCACCACACAGATGTAGATGTTAGATGGGTATAGTGAAAGTTTCTCATTAGTTTAGGATGGACTAGAATAGGTTGTGATTAAGGTCTTCAACATTTTTAAAATGGTACTAAATCACTGGTGTCAGGGCCTTATCTTTGAGCAGTCAGTGTTTAAATTGACTTCCTTCAGGGAGAGCATTTTGATGTCCATCTGGGTGGGTTCACCAGCTGCCCGGCCAGTCACTGGTCAGTTTTCCCTCTCTGGGGCCAGGGGTCATGACCTGGCTGTCCTTTCTGATCGCCCTGCGGTGATTTTTGACAAGTCTGCACGTTAGATGTCTGTTAAAGGTCAAAGAGAGACATAACTAGTTGTTTTTCTTTTCTTTTCTTTAGAGGGGCTAGTAAGGAGATGAGGAGGCTTTAGAATGAAAAAAAAAAATACTATTATTCAGAATAACATTTTGAATCAAATTAAGGAATTGGCCATTTCGATACATAAAGAAACGACTGACCTTACTTTAAATTATGTTGCCAAATTGAGCTGTTATCCTGGAGATGGGTAAGCAATATGGACAAATATGAAATAATGTCAAACACTAAGTAAAGCTGCTGTTTTCTGTCATTTAATATCTTCAGAACCACGGGCATACTCAGTTTGTTTGAAAGAAAACGAGAGCTAAAACACCGGGGGTGGCGTGTACCCCCCAATATTTAATTCGAATTCATTCATCCACTCCCTCCCCCAATAAGCAGACCTTTGTACTTTAATTTTTAAGTTGTGTCCGCCCGGTATCAAACTCTCTATTACGGTATTGCATACACGTCACTCCCACCCACTCCCTAAAATAGATCTGATTTTCTTTCATGCAAATCAGTACAAAAGACCGGGATTTGTGTTAATCTGACTAGCATTGAAAACAGCCTATTATGCCGCACAAACATGCACAAGCGATAAACTCGGATTAATGGAAGGTTGAACTTGTTTGCACTTCTTCGGGGGGCGATGCTCTACTCAGTGCGCACCAGACACTCGCATTGTTTCGCGGTGTAATTTATACATGGACCCGTCATCTGAATTTTACATATTACCCGAATTTCTATATACACACTCTTCGCCGTCATATATAATGAAGACAGATTTCATCTGGAGTTAAGATTAATGGCTTACAGTCACGTGGCCGTAGCAATTTTTAATGCAGGCTCCTAGGGCTATATTATTAGACGTTACAATTAATTGTTAACTCATAGTGTAATCAGCATTGTTAATTTAACACTGACAGAGATACGCGGCGTTTGAATAAGTTTACTTAGGTTATCTAGGTTTAGATAAAAAGTTGACTTTATATCTGCCTTCTGAAAATGGATTTAACGCAATTCAATAATGGAGGAAACTGAGGTGTTGAAGTTTGTCAGATGGCTGTTATAATGACTTGCTTTAGTATTCCGCCCATACAACCTCTGTCTATTTTTCTTCATTTGGTTGTTTTTCAATTAAAGATTTGATTCGTAACTAATACGCTAGTGTATTTTTCAGGCATTATAGTACAAATAAAGTAATCTATGCATGCTCAGAGCCAATTATGGGATGTTACATTTCAGTCACAGTTGGGGAGATTTCTGGAAAGGCAAACTTGCCTGATCCATGCACAGCTGGGGGGTAATTTTCTGTACCGTTTGACCTTTGCTGGACGCCTGCGATGTCCACGCTGGCCTCCGCAGATGTGCTTCTCGCTGATGGGACGGGATGGGACTTAAAAACGCTCCCCCCCCCAAACAAATTGCGGTCCCCATCATTACTGGTGTCCTTCTGAAAGCTCCGCTGGCTTTTGC